CCTGCTTTATCGCACATTGTATAATCTTCTTAAAGGTTTACAAAAATCAGGCTGATTCCCAATGTGTTTGTCATCCACGACATGGGCCTCCTGCATTTTGAATTGCCACCAGACAACTGTATCCATCTCAAGATTCAAGGGTTTTATTTGCCACATGATCACACAAGAATTAGGAAAGGTAAATACAAATGAATTTAAAAATGAACAAATGTGAATATATGAAAGTATTAAATATAATATATACAAATACAATAGCATGGTGCACATACTCAAGTGCCAATATCAAAATGTGCTGGGCAATGCAAAGTATTCACAGGTGACAATGTGTTAGATAAGAATTATCTAACACATTGAATTGGGCTGAATTGGGCTGTGTGCGTTTGGCTGATGTTGTCACGTCCTTGGACAGACAGGGATTGCCCTGGCTCATAAAGCTACGGGTTGCCCTGCACTAAAATGATGAACTTCTCCTCCATAAATTTACCGTAAACTGATATTTAAGGATGAAAAAAAATAAATCTACCGGCTGTAAGTGGTTGGTCCTTATCACATGCGCTGTGTGCTACAGCGGTCCAAAACGTGAACTATTTCTTATCTCGGGGCGCAGCAGCGCGCCCTGATAAAAAAACAAACAAAAAAACATGTTTGGTTACGCTTTTGCTCACGCCGTTCAGTGCATCTACATTTCCAACAATGGCTTTGAGGGTGCAAAAACACGACATGTGCACGGCCCCTTAAACTCTCTGCTACTCTCCTTCACGGGGAAGCTGTGTGCCGAGTGTTGCTCTGTTCTTAATTCTTGCCAATATTCAAGGTCTCCATCCCACCTTACTTCAGCTCTTCTTTCCTGTACTCTCCTGTAGCCAGCGTCCCTATTGTTAAGATTTAACATCTCCTCTTTGTTGACTGTTTTTACCCACTTCATCTCCATTTAGCGCTCCTTCTTCTCATAATAAGTCTACTCCCTCTTCCTTTTTTATCTTCAGTTCCTGTTGTTGCAGCACACAACACTGCCCCACCCCTCTCTCTATCCACTTCCCTTATGTTAACCTTCGAGTTTCTATTCCTATATGGCTGCCTCCGCATCCCTCCTCGCTCTCCCCCTCCATCTGATTGCTTGTTAGTTGGTATGCAGGCTTGGACCCCCATTGTGCGTTCTTGCCTGTCAGCACTCTCTTTTTCCATCTCCCTCTCCACCTCTTCCTTTGTTTTCTCTTTCCAGCTCCCAGTGTCCACTCTTTCTATCAAAAACAAGCACAAAGAAAAAGAGAAAGGAGAACATGGCATGTTGGGGGGGGGGGGATGAATGGAGGGAATAGGAGGAAGAAAAGGAGGATGTGTGCGTGATTGGAAAAGGGAAGGTCTTTTTTCTTAAAGGAAGAGTTAAGGAAGAATGTCACACCCAAGAGAGATAAAGGACAGGAAGGTATAGGAAAACAGGGGAGGGGCAATGGCTACGATAATATATGGATGATGTTCTATGAAGGTGGGAGCTTGCTAGCAGAATGACAAATGGGTCTCGAGTGACAGAGTATTATGTTAAAAAGTAGATTGATATGCAAATGTGGAGTGTGTGGCTTTGGAGGACAGGGATAGCCTGTTGTCCTCACTGAAGTGGAACAGAGAAAGGCAGAGAGAAAGGTGAGAGCCCGGGTGTGATAGTGATATCGCTGTCCATTAAAGTGTGTGTTTTTGCGCGATCGGCCCAGGTGTGTGTACCTTAAATCTGCATAAATACACAGATGTGTGTGCGTGGTTGTGCGTTTACTGTATGAAACAGCAGAGTGTAGCGTAATTAGATGGCAGCTAAACGGAACGACGACTTCTCCCACAGTGGCAGATAGTGCTACCTCCAAACTGCAGGGTAAAGAAGCAGCTGGTGGCGACGCGACGAGGACTATCTCATTGCAAAGTGTGTTCCAGCTCAAGGGGCTCACAGTGTAAAGTGAAAACCTGTGGCATCCAAATCAATAGCAGGCAATCCAGGAAGAGACATTCTTATACACTCGTTGTTAAAAGTACAGGACTTTGATACCAGAGTGTCCTACATGTCAGGTTTAATCTAACAAGAGAGTAGAGTAAATGACCAAAAACAGGAGGCACACATGAATAAAGATTCAAAATGAAATGCATTGTGAACTGAAGCTCAAATAAATTTAATGAGGAACATTAAGCAAAAGTGCCGACCGAGCTAACAGTGTTAACCTGAGGGGGAACTGGAGGGTGGGTGCTACGCTTACGCAACCACGATTTCTGTCAGGACGGCATTATCAGCTGTAACCGCTGTGAGAGCTGTGCAGAGCAGCGGCCGTGAGCAAACCAGCGGGGCACGCTCACGTGCACTGACATGCACTAAAAGCACGTAAGACCGGCCTGGCTGTGTCAACATAGCAAGGAGAAGCTCGGATAACAACGCAGAATTTAAATAAATCTTCATAAAGGAAGACATTACTCCTATATCTTTACATGGAAAACGTAATGTTAAAAACAGCTCTTTTAATGCAAACTACAGTCGCATGTGGAGGCCTGGGAGGAAAAGAAGAGAGTGAGGTCAGCTGTGAAGCCACTCAAATGTACTGAGGCCCAAGCTACTCTATTTATATTCTAGTTAAATGACAACAATATGTAACTGGGACTGCAATCTTTTTCAAACCTACCTAAACCTAAGACCTTTGAGTGCCTAACCATTACATGTCAATCATGCTTTCAATGACAGTGGGTAGGTACAGCATATCTAAAAATGTAGAGTTAAGTTTAAATTTAAGCAATTATTCAAAGAAGTCGCAAATGCATGATTAGTATATTGCTGTAGCCAGTAAAAAGCTATCAGTTGGTGACAGCAGATCCTCCAAAGACAGAGCATTGGCTAAATATTCATCAGCAAAAAGTGAGCTCTTTGTAGTAAAAAGTGATTTTGAAAGAAAGTTGAAAAGGTGGACCATTTACATGCAGAACAAGCAGCCGAATTGTTTAAACATGAAATAGCCGCAACCATCCATATAAATGTGTGATTCTTCTAGACTCTCCTATAGATGAATTATTGGTCAGTTGCATTAAGTTGTAGATGTTAAATAAAATATCTATTTCAAACACACACACACACAGAGCCACAGCTGTCGGGGGGGGGGGGGCCACGGCCATGTCAAGTTTTGTGCCATGTTTCAGACTGCAGCACTAATGATTTATGACACTTCTAACTGAAGAGGAGAAATGAGTCACTCTGTAATTACTATGGAAATGTGTTCATTTCCCATCAGACACACACACACTCACGTATGCAGCCATGCACCCGTGGAGACACACGCACACAGATACACATCCAGCATCGATGGGGAAGTGTTTTGAACGTGGGTCTCGCAGAACATGTGTGTGTGTGGTGGTTGGGGGGGGGGGGCAGACGTAGGTCCCCACAGGATTATCACAGTTGGAGCAGAGGTGTGACCCATGTCCCCATATCCCATATGCTCAAAACACATGCCCCAAAGCACTGTGTTTGTGTGTGTGAGCGTGTGTCAAGGGGGTAATGATGGTCCCTTGGTGTTTGACTGGCTTGAGCCCAGCTGATAACCAGGTGGGGCCCAGAAAACATTAAGCCCCCTCCTCTTTATCCTCAAATACCAGCAACCAGTCTCTACCCTTATGTGTGTGCGTGTGTGTGTATTCCCAAGAGAGCCTATTGATGTCTGGGTTATACCATGCATTCAGCTGTGTAAAATCAACAGAAGGATTATACACCAAATGACTGAGATTTGCTGAGCCTAGTGAGACCCCACATTTCCCAATTTCTGCCGCTGTGTCTCACATTAATGCTTTACTGTTTCTATTCCACTCCGGTTTATATTTTTGTCTTCATCACCCCCTTTTCTTCATATATTTGCCATTTCTTTCAGCCTCCCTCTCTCCTCTGCCCTCCTCCACTCTGCTGACTTAAATCACACTGTCTGTGCTGCAGTTACTCTTGGCTCTAAGCCCAAATCGATTAATCTTCATGATGGACAGACATACCGACCCGTTGCTGCTTTACCTGCACAACAGTTGAGGAGGATTGCACAAGAAGGAAACTGAAGGGAGGAGAGGAGGCTGTAGTATTTGTGTTGTGTTTAGTACCTCGTTACATGAAACTGCTTTTACATTTGATGTTTTTTGTCCAAAAGTGTTCGTGCCGAATTTAAAAGAGCCGTAAATCTCAGAGACAGCGTTATGGGGGATCAGGGTTGTTAGACACTATTCGAGGCGGAAGCTGAACAAAGTGGAAAGAAATACACTGACACAAACATATGACACACACACACACACACACACACACACACACACACACACGCACACACTAGCAGCATCCTCCCCCCATTGAGGTCTGTAAAACAGAGTAAGTTAAACACTTCCTCACAGCTGGATGGCAGGATTGAATTGATCAATTTGTCAATACTGTGTCTTGATCGTTGAACTGACCCGCGCTGCAGGGTGTGTGTCTATATGCTCACGGGGGGTGGGAAAAGGGCATAGCGGTGTGTGTTTGTGTATGTGTGTGTGAGAGACGCATGATAATATTGAAGGCAGTGGTAAACGGCCAGAGATAAAAGAGGAGCATGCATTATGGATAGATCTGCCTCTCTATGACTGACTGACACACACACACACACACACACACACACACACACACACACACACACTCACTCAACCTCAGGCGGAATTGACAGGTAGACGCAGAGAAAAAGAGGAACAATTAGCTTCCTCCAAGCTAGTCTCAGAGGAGTGAACGTGTAAAGACAAAAAAGGAAATATCTAGTTCACCGCTATTTGCTGTGGAGTGCGGTTCCTAGAAATATTTTAGATTCACCACCTGTGTGGAATTGCACATACACACTCAAGGGTATGTGATCTTCCATAGACGTGCAACAAAGCTATATTGGTATCCGTGTGGTGAAAAAAACAATCTGTGCCGTGTATCTAGGTCTACAGAACATACAGGATCATAATCCAGCTGTGCATTTCTCTTTCAGACACTGTGGCTACATCAAAGCCAAGCAAGACCCCGATGAGGAGAAGATGCAGTTCCAACATGGCCGAGGTAAAGACACAGACACACACAGAAATGTTTGGATGTGTATTGCTATCATAACTGTGCATGTTTCTTATCATGTGCTGTACCAAAATTCACCACTGCAATAAATAACATTACAACATGATGCACACAAATGCATAATATTGTTTTTGTTTTGTCAAACTCAACGATTTATCTTGAAATGTTTGTGATTATGCAAGCAAGCTTCACACCATCCTGCAATAGACCAAATCACCTGTATTTATAGTTTACACAGTTGAAGACTCCAGGAGGAAAAGCACTCACACTGGTTAGTCACATACAATAGCCGTGCTGTGTTTGCAGACCTTCTAATGTGTTGTTGAAAAACAGTCAGAGCTACAGTTAATACAGTTGGTGCATATGTACGTCTCCAACTCTGCAGCGTTCTCAGCTAAATAAACCACATCGTTTCACACTCTTACATAAATGTTTGCTGGCAAAGTGTAGCTCCTTATGGGTTACTGTTAAAAGTTATGAGTCATTTTAACACCATTGCTAACAAAGTAGTTATGTGTTTAATTATGTAATCATTTGCGATGTCACTCAAACAGAACGCCCACGCTCGAGCTCCCATTTTAACATGCATTCACGCTGCTGAAGTGTCCCAGTAGAAATCAGTGTGGGTTCCTGGAGAAAAACCATCTCCCAGAGGGATCAATACACTAGTGCTATACATACACCGAGCTAATTCTGGTTATATCAGCACATATAACTTTCATTTCTCCCCTTTTCCTCCTCATGCAGTCAAGCTGCCAGGCAGCAGGATCTACATCCATCCTCACACCTACGAAGACCCCAACCAGGCTGTCAGGGACTTTGCCAAAGAGATCGATGCTTCCAATATTCGCATAGAGCGAGTCATTGGAGCTGGTGAGTTGGCAGTAAAACAGCAGTCGACTATTGATGTAACTAAAAAGAGTAACGTTTTTAACCTGAATTCAAATTACTATTGCCTTTTCGTAGGAGAGTTCGGGGAGGTTTGCAGTGGTCGGCTGCGTGTTCAGGGAAAGAGGGAGATCTACGTGGCCATCAAGAGTCTGAAGGCGGGATACTCTGACAAACAGAGGAGGGACTTCCTGTCTGAGGCCTCCATCATGGGCCAGTTTGACCATCCGAACATCATCAGGCTGGAGGGTGTGGTGACAAGATGTGAGTGAAGCTTTTGGTTTAGTAACCACACACTCCCCTTTTCCTTTCTCTGTAGTGAGTGAGTGTGTCTCTCACGTCGCTGGTGGCGATGTAAATAAGAGCTAACCCTGAACCAGATGAAAAAAACTCCATTACCATGGCAACGCTTTGATGAAACATGGCGGTGTTCATGTGAACGGCGGCTGTTTGACTCTCATGCAGCCACTTGTTTAATTCCCATGATTGTGTTGGGCAATTAGGGCAAGTTTGTCCGTGTGCGCGAAATAGACACAGGCCTGGTTCAGCAAGATAGCTGATTTGTTTTCGCCGGGCCTCGCTCTCAATCCCACTCTCTGTCCATCTATCTCTCTCTCGTCTCATACCTCTCAGCCAGTGTCCCTCTAATCTTGTCATTCAAGCGCTCCCCACTTTTCTCCTGTCTCTATGTGTCTCCGTCTCTCAAACCCAGAATACGTCAATGCAAAGCAGGCTAAATTTTCTTTCTGTCTGTTTTGGACCTACAACCACACTGAAGGCACAACTCGCTCCGTAGTTTTGGCCGATGGTGTGCGTTGATGCAATCCCCTGGAGCTCTTTACTTGACAGAATCGTTTCAACCGCCAAAAAGCATGGCGGAAAGCCTGGTCCTTGCTGCACCTGGGTATCCCCGCCTTCATGACCAAACTGCTATCGTGACCAAAATGCAAAGCTTGGTTTGTGTGGCATTGGTTCTCATAATTTGTGAAATGGTCCAGCAATTATGCGTTAATGAACTGCAAAGCCAACCGCTAATGTTATATTTTTATATTATAATCTCCAGGCTGGTCAGGGGCTGTGTGGCAGTAAATTCAAGAAGACAACTCTGTTAGCTCGAACCCATTCTGTGATCTCTTACCTTAAATGTCGAAATAGGTGATCACCAACACAGGCATCGTAAATTCGATCCGTATTTGTGTTGATTTCGCAGTGCAGAAGTGCCCGACTCATCGATCAAATCTGTATTTTCTGCTCGTTCAGATGGCAGAAAACAGAAAAATATGTCAGCAACTAAAGTGGGTGTTTGTCTGCGATAAAACACAGTATTCATAGAATGTCACGCAGATGTTTCTTAGAGATGAACAGACAACCAAAAGGAAGATGGAGATAGTCAAATACACCTCCGCTTTCCCCCTCTCTCACCCTCTGTCTCACACACACACACAAAGATCTTGAGTCCATCACACACACCGGTGCTCAGTGGCACTTAGGCCAACAATAAAAGAGCATATCCATATGCATAGGCTTCTATCATGAATATTAATAATCCATAAAGTTAATTGGATGTGGGTTTTAGGCTCATGAATATTCAGCAGCATGCATATTAAGAAAGGGAACGCGCTGCATTTCTTATTCTCTCTCTCTGTGGTAACTGTGACCTTTACACCTTTGCATAGTTGATTGAGGCCGTTTGTAAGAGTAGCAACAAACTAAATCAATTGTGGGTTTTTTTGTATTATTCTGACAGGAATACATGTAATTATGGCACTTTCTTTTCAATGGCACAAGCCATTCCAATTAAAAATACCAGAATAAATTCAAGGCTTACTCCAAATCCTTGAAATGTTCTGCTGACTGTGGAATGATTGGCTTTGCTCATATGAATATAACAACATGTTTGTGCTCCTTCCTTTTTTTTTTTGCTGTGTGTGAATGTAACGAGCGTCTGTCTACTTTTACATGCCTTTCTTTGTGTCTCTCATCTCACTTGTCTTCACGGCACATTGAGAAGCTGATAGAGCTCCTCAGGAACAAATCTCACCAGCGGAGCAGTAATTTCACAGGTCACAGCCCAGGGTGCATATGTGAGAGTGAGGGGGTGAGAGTTGAGATGGGTCAATAATTCCTTCAGGCCTTTTTTTCTTCAGCACCAGCTGGTCCCTTCACACCGCCCTCAGTCTAATCAGGCAGGCTGACCCTGACTGCTCTGGGCTCAGGTGTGTTGGATTGGTTTGTGTAGGTGTAAGCAGTAGTAGAATCAGCAGTTATAGGAGTACTATTAGTTGGAGTAGTACCGAAAGTAGCTGTTGTCACTGTTCTGCTGTAGCAGAAGTAGCTGTGGTACTGCAGTATAAAGCAGCAACAACAGTTTTAAACATATTAATACCAGTCGAAATGATACTGTAAAAAGCAGACGTTCTGGTGTGAGGATATCAGACAAGAAAAGAGTTTAATGGCCTAAGAATAACATGTGCTAAGACTTGACTGGATGACAATATCACACTCGTATCCGTCTGCTAAATATGAAGCCGGAGCCTGCAGACTGTTAGCTTAGCTTATCATAAAGACTGTAAACAGTGGGGGGAAAGCTAACCTTGCTGTGTCCCAGGATACAGTGTGTGCGCATTAAACAAACAAAGTGTGACGTGCAGAGGTGCTAGTAGGGCAATTCTTTTTTGAACCTTTGAATAGAACCAGGGTACCGGTATGCCTCGGATCTTTATGATAGGCTAAGATAACCAGCTGCTGGCTGTAGCTTCATATTTAACGGACAGACAGGAGATCATCATCATCTCACTCACGGCAAGGAAGCAAAAAAGCGCCTTCTTCAAATAGCAAGAAGGAGCACTTTAGAATGATTGATAATGTAAATAATAGTCTTACAAGTAACAGCATAATATAAGTACTACTAGTGCTATGGTAATACATGATAGTAGTAGTAATGATGGAGGGTAGCGAATGTAGCAATGATGGTTATCGTGGTATTTATTTGAATTTTGCATTGGGTATGTGCTTATTTTGACTGTCTGCTTCTGTGTGTGTGTGTGTGTGTGTGTGTGTTATTTCCTCTTAAAACCTCATAAGACCTCTGCCTCCTCCATGTGCCACTCTAATAACCTACTCTGCTGTCTGTCACCTGATTGTTGCTATTGTCATGCTAATTAGAGCACCACAAGCGGAAAAGGAAAAAAAAAAGAAGATCTTTCTTTTCTCTGTCTGTCTACACATCAGGAAAGTGCAGCATTCTGCCCCCCGTCTCCTTATCTTCCCCTCATCTCCCCGTCCCTCATTTTATCCATCCACCCTTTATGTGTTTTACAATCGCTGCAACAATCGGCTCATTTGGAAAACCCTCAATTACCGAGCTCCATCTCATCTGCCCACATTGCCTGCCTGCCCCCCCCCCCCCCCACACACACACACACACACCCCCACACACACACACACACACACACACACACACACACACACACACACACACACACACACACACAAACTGAAAAGGTGCTATCAAAACTGCCCGTCTTTTCCATCCGTCTTCTGTTTGAAGAAACTAGTGATTAGTTTAACTGTGTGACTTTGTGCGATGAATAATAAGTGTTTCAATCTTTCCTGTCAGAGCGCTTTGAAGTTATTCACGTTTTGAATACGTATGCAGATCTGGAGATTGGACTGTGGGGACAAATGACGAAGAGCAGAAAAAAGAGGGGAGCGTAGAGAAAGTGAGACAACGGGTGCGGGACGGAGGGAAGAAGTGAGGGGACGGATGAGATAGGACACAAGAGCGGGGAAATGAGAGAAGATGGGGCTTGAAAACAAATAGGGGCAAAGGGGGGGGGGGGGTAAGATGTTGGGAAGAGATATGAGTTGTAAAAAAAGGGGCGGATAGACGAGAGGAGAGATGGCGAGCAGACAAACGTGAGGAAATGAGAGGAGAGGAGAAAGCGAAGAGGGGGAGTGGAGAGGTGTAGCGAGGGGTGGAGATAAGGTTATTGAGTTTCTGTCTGACTGTTTCTCCGCACCCTCACGTGGCGCTTCCCAGAACAGAGATCTGCCCTGTGTTAAAAGCATCGTATCACTTAGTTCAGAGCCTTAACATTAATCAATACAGCAGTTATTTCATTTTCTCGTTTGTACCTTGGGCCGCCTCATTCAATAATGCGGTAATGCGGCCCGCTAGCGCAAACACAGATAGCCACTCGTAATTTAATTGTCCAGATGTATACGGACTGTATCACTTTCGCTTACACTCACACCAACACACACAGAAACAGCCGCTTATAATGTAATTTACCAGATGTATAGACTCCATCACTTTGATACACACACACACACACACACACACAAATTAACAGACACACACACGTGAGGCCTAAATAATCCTAGCTCCATCCTGAGGAAAGCAGAGACCACACGTTCTTCTCTCACTTAATGAAGAGCTGTATATAAAGAAGAGCAACTCCCCACTGATTGTTCCATAACACACTCCACCTGGCAGAGCATCGATACACACACACACACACACACACACACACACTGGGAGGTGTTTTTTAGCTCCACAAACGGCTGCGGTATTTCTAAAGGCGATGAAAGGCTATACATTGGAATGAATATGAATGTGATTAGTTAATTATGCGCTTTCAGGAGGAAATTGCAGAACGCTCAAAAATGTTTGGCAGTGAGGTGCGCCACGCAGAGTTGAAGAGGCTCCGTGCTGCCAGTGTGTGTGTGTGTGCGTGTGTTTGAAATGTGGATGGCATGTGATGAAGTCGCTACAAGAACTGAAAGAGAATCATTGTGTCGTCGAGTGTGCGCGTGTGTTTGTGCTGGCACTTAACAAAAAGAGACGGAACGAGCTAATATACAGCTCAAGTGCATGTGGTCGGTTTTATTGGTAACCCCTGTTATCTTTCAGAGCTGCAGGGATAATTCTGTATGGCAGGTGTCCAGATGATGGCTAGTGATAGCAGTGTCTGTGTGTCTGTGTGAACGTGCCAGGCTCACATGGACCTCTAAGCCGACACAACGGGATGAATGCGTTTCATTGGGCTTCTCTCGTGACCGCATGTAACACTGTGTGCCTGAAAGTAATATTCTCCCTCAATGGTAAAATACATACACATACCCACACACACACCTCCCTTGGTGGACAGAAAGCTGTGAAGAGTCAGACCTCCTTTCAGTCGGGATCAATCCCATCAACGTTTTTTTCTGTAGCTGTGACAAACACACACACACACAAAAGCACACACATGTTCTCCACCTCTGATCAGAGCTGAAATCAGATGGTCATCCCCACCGATCCACTTGCGATGCCCTGAAACCAGCTCTGTGTCTCTCTCTCACACACACACACACACACACACACACACACACACACACACACACACAGGCCTCGTGTGGAGATAAATGTGACCAGCAGTCCTCACCCGAAGCAGAAGAAAATCCAATTCTATTTCACTTTTATCCCCGAGACTAATGTTACTGTCAGAGAAGACACCACCACCAGAGACCAGGCGACTCTGTTTGTGTGTGAGTCCCAGTGTGTGTGCGTGTGTGTCTGTGCGTCTGTGTGTGTGTGTTTGCTGCAGTGAGATAGTGAATTCATTTAAGGTGATGTATTGCTGTCTTTACCTACAATCTCACTGTAGGCCTCGTGGTGTTGTTCCTGCCTTTCCATGACAAGCGTTTGACCCCTCCTCCTTTCCTCTCCCTCTTTCCCTTCCTTCTCCTTTCCTCCTTCTCTTCTTTCTTTGCCTTCCCTCTTATACTTCTCTTCTCACGTGCCCTTTCCCCCTACCATCCATCTTTCTTTTCCCTCCTTTACCTTTTAACCCTTTGCTTCTTTTGTCCAATTTCCATTACACTCTTTAATCCTTGATTTGTTTACCAGTAATTTCCATTCTATTCAATTTTTTTCTTTCAATTCATTTCCCAATTCAAATTCTTAATTCAACAGAGCGTTATTGGCATGGCATTTTGATTAAAAGAAGGGAACATTTAATTTCCTATTGACTGTGTTCTTTAAGAAAACAGTCCTTAAGAAGATTCTGTCTCGTGCATTCTCATCTCCACACCAGGTTTTTTTAGTATCTCTGAGGTCTGATTGGGGAAATGTGACCTATTCATCACAACTGACATAGGCTGTGTGTTTACGAGCCATGCACGCACCCACACACCGTTTGTACTGCACATTGCATGTTTGTTTGTGATTGGCAAAGCTCGGCTGTCGGGGGGGGGGGGGGGGGGGAACTGGGGAGAACCCTGTAAAACGTGGACAACTGCTGTTTTTGGTGAGCGGGTGTGTGCCTGTGTACATGTGATTGCAGGTACTTTGTTCATCATTTGTAAGCCCCACCAGATGCCATGCAGGGGAACATAGTGCGCAGGGCCTGTCAGTCAACCGCCCCTTCATCACACGAACACACACTCGTGCAGGTGCATGTAGCGATCCAACCACAACCCCCTTCCCCTTGAGGCTGATTAGTATTCACGAGATCTCAGGAGGCCCCTAATACACACACACACACACATATTCTGGAGGATTGGTCCATTCTAATTATCTCCTGGCGTTTATGGAGAGGGCTGATTAGAAGCTGTCAGTGTGACTGATGACGACATGCCATGTTATCCCCTGGAGAGAGGCAGAGAGACAGAGAGACAGAGAGGGAGGCTGGTCACAGCTGTGGACTCAACTACTTCTCTGTCCTCGTCTCTTTACAGTTGGTGTCTTTCTTCCTTGTAATTCTGCTCCAATAACGGCTGCCTTATTATGTGCCTCCGTAGGTAAACCAGTGATGATCATAACGGAGTTCATGGAAAACGGATCTCTGGACACTTTTCTCAAGGTGAGTCGCGGCTCAGCTGGAAGGAACACGACACACACATTTCCTCCAAGGCCAGGGCCACGTGTCTTTACAAAGGCCCTGTGGAAAATGAATGAAAATTGTAGCGTTCATCCCCCCAAATTGCCATCCTGGAGAGCACATTCTTCTAAGAATAGATAAAAAAAAGATACCTGACTGTAGTTGTCTTTCATCTCAAGCTGGAGAATTCTGTATATAAAACATTTCACACTAAGGACTTAAGTTAACAAGTCTCCATTAAAATTAACACTATTTCAGCTCATTAGAGTTTTTAAACTTGAGCCACATTGTTATATGCAGTCACCACATTAGGAATGTAATGGATGCAGTTTACACAATTTAAGAAATAAGAACATAGCTGTTGCAGTTTTTTTGCAGCTATAACGACACATCAGACAATTTCAAAGTAAAATAAATGCAACACATCTCCACTAAATGGTACAGTGTACGCAGAAGAGTAAATGGCATCTGTATTTAGACATGGTGAGAGTATTTTATGGGGTGAAATGTTGAGTTTAAGTGACACAAACAGTAAAAACAATGAAAATCATTATTTTCTAAGCTGCAGGAAAATAACCTCCAAAATACCAAAGAGATTTAAAACAAAACGGCTTGATCATGAATGAACAGAGAAGTACAATAAGTAGAAATATAACTCGAGACTAGAGACTAGTTTGTAGAGTATAAATCCCTGCCAGAACATTACAAAATTAAGTCTGGAAAAGCAGATTTTACTCAAGGTTATTGCTGAACCCCTTATTAGTGAAGAGATTTAAAAATCAAAGGGAGTCTGTGGAGGTATTGCTTTGTTATTGAAATCGACATCATGACAAGAGTTAGAGGAGCCTGTCACTCAATACATTCATTACATGAATTGATGTTTTTAACGAATTTGTCGTAAAGCCTATCCCCCAAAACACATCACAAACCTGCAGACGGACTAACTCAAGAAATCTAAATGTATTCCTTCAAAACTGACCGAAGATTTTGAAGTATTTCTCATAATGTCAATTATATCCACAAAAGTATGGATCTTTATGACATTGCAGATGCATAAGACAAGCATATAATGCCGTAAATGTTGATAAATGAGTGATTCATGACTCCTGCTCATGGAGCAAACGTAGCAGTATTGATTTAGCTGAGGAGCTTTGAATTAAGGTTTTGCATACACCCAGATGAATAGCTTGTTGCAGCCCCGATGTGCCTCACATTGAAAGTCCCCCTGATTCATATTCAGAGTTGCTTGTCAGCCAGTAAAATCACTGCAGTGCTCCAAAGCCATTAAGTCTGTGATGATGGGCCCATCGCTAAATAGACACCAATCCCATCAGCAACACTGAAGCAAAATGAAATGAAATCTGACAGATAAAAAATGGCCTGAAACACACACACACACACACACACACACACACACACACACACACACACACACACACACGCGCGCACGTACACACGCAGCACATGCATGTTGTGTGTTGCAGTATGTATTGTAATGAGGGTCATAAAGAGTGCTCGCAGTGGCTCAATATAATTATGGAATTTTATGGGTTTTACAGTTCATCCGTGCTCCTGGCATCCATATGCGTCTTTAATTACGATGACCATTTATTAAGCAGTCGTCCCTCGGAAACAACAAAACCACTGTTCTGTCCGCGAAGCTCTCCCTCTTTTAGTCTCCTTGTTTCTACCTCCAGTAGCCTTTCTACGCTCTTCCTCAGTATTCGTTTCCTTTTAGTTTTGTGGTAAACTTAAATATTATGTTAGAATCTGCCCAAAAAGTCTCATTTTCCATTATCACCTTTCTCATCCATCTCCTTGTCTAACCTGTCTGCCCTGCATTTGTCTCCCCGGCTCTCTCCCCGCCATGCCCACCCTTCCTCCTCCTTCCTGGCAATGCAATGTGGTGGGCAGATTGATAGAGGAAGTCTGTAGGTTTGTTAGACAGTCCAATCAATCAGCATCTCACAAAACCACGGGCTAATTAACTTACTCCACAGCTGCCGAGAGAGTGAGAGAGAAAGAACGACAGAGGAAGGGGGAGGGGGGTGCACAGATGTAGAAAGATGAGGGGAGATAGATAGATGGAGACTGAGTCAAAGTAATACAGAGTTCTCTCTATCTCTCTCTCTGGGACAGTGACTGAGGACAGACAGAGATGGATGGAGAGAACAAAGACACAGAGGGAAGGAGAGATGATATAAAGGAGAGAGGGTGACTGATAACATGGATGGCTTTTTAACGTGGGCCGTTGGCCCGGGGCAGAAATAATTGGCAGAGGAAGGTGAGCTGGACCGTCATCGATCAACAGGCTCTGCTCTCTGCCAAAGACAGCTCAAATATGAAATCCAGCGAGCTCTGCTTGCATGCACGGTTAGTGTTAGAGAGGAAAGTTTTGACTTCTCTATCAGATCCAATCTTCTGCAAGCAGGATTTTCTTGGTGATTCTCCATTGATCGCTGGGTGGATAACTTCATCTTTTGCTTGCCACCTCCCAGAGAGAGGTCAAAGCGGAGGGTTAGCAAGAGCTGGATGGGCTTCAGCGTCTAGCCCAGAGACAAAAGCACGGATTGCTGCCATTACGGGCGCTTGAATCCTGGCTTGAGCCTTCACTTCCTGCTGTGGTTGTTGTAGGACTTGATCCTAATCACTATGCCCCCCTGATGTAGCTGAACGTCAGCATTTACACTGTGCTGTGTGTTAATTCATCTTTCTCCTTGTCTCTACCTACAGAAACACGACGGCCAGTTCACGGTGATCCAGCTGGTCGGCATGCTGCGCGGCATCGCCTCAGGCATGAAGTACCTGTCAGACATGAGCTACGTTCACCGAGACCTGGCAGCTCGAAACATCCTGGTCAACAGCAACCTGGTGTGTAAGGTGTCTGACTTTGGCCTGAGTCGAGTTCTGGAGGACGACCCGGAGGCTGCCTACACTACAAGGGTAAGAACGCTCTCAGCTGTCATGAACAAATGTTACCTCCAGTTACAGTTCGCCCATTGACCCATACATTATTAGAGTCCAAAACCAAAACCTTGCAATCATTATTTTAAAAAAGAAAGCTGATCTGAAAAAGTCCAGAGGATAATCAGACCTGATCCAAAATGTGGTCGACCTAAACAGACCCAAAGAAGAAGAGCAATAAATGTCATTTTTATGGGACTTGACAGTCCACACCCTCCTCACACACACCATGTGATCAGAGCTGATAGCAACTCCACTTGTATCCACTTGGTATTATTACCATTCACACATATGAACACAAGCACTAGAGGCACAGCTGGCTGCTATTAAATGTGAATGGAAACCTCTGAATGATATTCTGGCTCTGGCGCTGCATTCAAGACTCCAAAACTTGGCCAAAAGGTGTGACGTGGAGCAGTTGAGAAAGTTTATGGAAATTATCTCCGACATGGGGGAGCGGCAACCCGGAGCAAACCAATCATGCTTGTTTTGATTCCCGCAGGAAATAGAACAAGCACTTCAAACTAAATTTAGGGAAAGCTGATCACCGCGTTAAACGGCTTCCCAATTTGATATAACTTTAACAAGCCAATTGAAAATGATGCATGAAAACACATCGCTCAGGAAATTAACCACTTTGTTTTCCATGATGGAAATCAGAGAAAAAAACCATCCAATCAGAGCTGGATATGTAAATCAGGCTATACACGACGAGGAAGCTCATGAGTGGCAAGAGGGAGCCTGCTGTCAACAGACCCGACACCCACGGCTAGAGAGCGGGACACTGACCTGATACGAATGCTTATAATTTGGACGACTCTGGCCGAATGTCTGGTCTCAGTTGCTACAGTAGGAACTGAGTGGACGTGTGATGACTTCTTCTCTACATGTATAAAATGTCTCTGTACTGACTGGACAAAGCCGTAAGGCTGTAAGGGCCCTATCTTACACCCAGCGCAAAGCACAATGCAACGGTCATTGCGAGTTTCAGACTGGTGCAGTTTTAACGCCCACATTGTATAAGATGCAAATGTACTCGCGCCCATCTGTGTGTCCACAGGTGGTTGGTCTTGATATGAGGTGTGGACAGGCACGTTGTTGGCGCAATGCTTTCTTGAGGAAGGAGAAAGCAATTGTGCCATTGACCAACTGTAACTTGGACTACAGTCAATGTTGCAGTATTTTCCTGCTATTGAAAGGGTGCATTATTCCGATCAGATGTGCCTTTATTTGCAGGTTCACGCGTACTCTCTGCTTGTTACACACACAGGGACGTGAAGCAGTGCTCCTCTTCAGTTAAGTAGGTTGTCAGCGCAGTCGCTCACATGCAGGAAAATGGAGTTGTTGATGGGACAGAGGATTACCAGACGGCGGAGGATGAGGGTCTACTGCTCTAATATAAAGTCTGCTGGCACACTTTCACTTTGCACTAGAGCAAATCTGTTTCCTTAGCAGAAAGACCGCTCGCTCCTTCAATTTGACAAATCCACCATCTGAATAACAATGTACCAGGTGCAGGCACATCTGGCTACAAAGGTAATGGGAGATGACCATCTGATTGGTTTAATACACATTACGCCCAAAACGCACCTGTGATTAATTAAGAGGCTAAATACAACCTCTATTGCCCCTTGTGCTGGTTAACTAAAGTAGAGTTGGACACACCCTAAATGCTGTTAAGCCATGCACTTTAGTCCATGCGCTGTAGATGGTTTAAATAGGGCTCTAAAACTGTACTACACAATGCAGTTGGATTTTTATGAGGCCATGAAACCCAACTGATGACATAAACGTATGCTGTTCACAAAATTCAACACACACACTGGATGTATGCATACACACAAACTTCACGTTTTGCCCGCATACAGACAGATGAAAGAAGTCTTTGGTAATCACCATCCTCTCACAGAGCACGGAGAGAATGAAGAAAGTCAAACATCAGTGAGTTAAACCACTGCGGAGTAACTCATCTAAAATGCCCACAAGGAGATGGCATTATTCATATTCATAGGAAGTGTTGGGGATGTTATTTTTAATATGGCATTAGCATTGCCCTGGGAGGAGTGTATCAGCCGCTGACTGCTCTATTGCAATCACACACACACCCCCACTGATGTCAGGAGAGCTAGATGGAGAGCTGCAGGCATGAGGCCGAGGCGGAGATGGGGAAGAGACAGAGAGAGAGAGAGAGAGAGAGAGAGAGAGAGAGAGAGAGACAGAGAGAGAGAGAGAGGCGATATCAAATAAGACCGAGATCGAGGGAGGCTGAGAGAAAGTGAGGGAGCAAGAGAGAGAGAACGAGAGAATAAGGGAAGGCAGGCGAATCATCCAGTGAGAGCAGTTAAGAGAAAAAAAAGAGGATGGGGTAGGGGTGGACTGGGGGTGGTGGAAACAAAAGTACAGTGCCGAGTGACTTGGCAGCTTTGTCTTTTATTTGACTTTGACCAAGCAGAGATGGGAAATGCTAGGTGGTGCAGAGGCAGCTGCCGCATGTTAAAAAGCTGAACTGAGCCCTATAGAGGTACGGTGTGTGTGTGTGTGTGTGTGTTAGACAGAGCGAGAGAGAGGGGGCATGGGTATCTTACTCCCTATTCTGTCTATACAGTGGGCTTTATGGAATCCGTTTGATCTGTGCATCAACAACAAAGGCAAGAGAAGAAAAAAAGATGGCAAAAGAAAGTCAAGTGTAAGAGTAAACACTGGAGCCAAAGTAGCTCCTATGTTGTGAGCAGATTAAAGAGGGAGTGTTTCCTTTAAATTGGTGTATAATCAGACCTGCTCTGTTTGTAAAGGCAGCAGCGCCGCACCGAGCTTCTCTGCAACCACCGTCTTAAAACGTTTTTTATCAGCTCCACTCCTATTTATTATAGAGCTTAGCCTCAAACATACTAATGAAGCAACCTATACATATTCATACCATTACAGCAAAACACCAAGTTCAGGGTGACATATTCAGTATGCCAAGAATGTGTTGACTGTGTTGTGAACCATCTCCAGGGAGGGAAGATCCCCATCAGATGGACGGCTCCAGAGGCCATCGCCTACAGGAAGTTCACCTCAGCCAGCGATGTGTGGAGTTACGGTATCGTCATGTGGGAGGTGATTTCATACGGAGAGAGACCCTACTGGGAGATGTCCAACCAGGACGTGAGTCACAAACACTTACATCATGTCTCAGTTACAGTGACTGCTATGTCTTCCTCCATCTTCAGCTCAGTTCTTAACTTAAAGAACGAATCTTCTGGGACATTTCTCGTATTGATCTAGAAGCTGATATTTTACCCTCTCTCCCTACAGGTGATCAAAGCAATAGATGAGGGCTACCGTCTTCCCGCTCCTATGGACTGTCCTGTGGTGTTGCACCAGCTCATGTTGGACTGCTGGGAGAAGGGACGCAGCGACAGGCCAAAGTTTGGACAGATTGTCACAATCCTGGACAAGCTCATCAGAAACCCAGCCAGCCTCAGAGAGCTGGCCAACAGCTCAGCATGGTCAGTGGGAGAAAGCTGTACATTGAAATCCTCAGTTCAGCTCTTTCACTCACACATGCATGTAGTCTGGAGATACCTGGATTACATTATAGGACGGTACATGCATAGAAGACATAATCACTGCTTTAGATCTACGTTGTAAATCTACTTTGTCAGTTATGAAAATTGTGAAAAGTAGGAAATGTCATTTTTTTTTCCCTGGTAATACCCCATTCTAATCTGTTATCGCTGCAAAGTAACATTCGTCAATGAAAAGGTATGAATATAAGATTGTGGGTTGGCATATCTACAGTCTCACATTCTAAATTTAGACTTGCTGCCACCTCGGTTGTATTGCACACGACCATAGAACATCATTTAACTGATGTTAAGAACCAGACCAGCAGCATACAGAGTGTGCAAAAGAGTATGAGCCAGTCCCTTTCCAAGAAAACTGAAGACACTTTAAAAAAGATAAAATAACAAATCCCAGCACAACTGAAAAGACAACTCACAAAGGCCTACCCCCTGAAGACACAAAGAACTGAGACAAGAAAGAAGAGTCTTATACACGGGTCCTTATAGACTGTCTTTAACTGAAGCATATGAAGCACAGTATGTAAGTGCATATCGTATGCTAATGCAGATGCAATTAGTACTACATTTGCAAGGTATTTACGGAGTTTGAGCATGCACATGAACAAACACAAAGATCTTTTACAAAATAGCAATAGAAAGGAAACGGTCAAAGAGTTTGACAACTCTTTGACTGTTTCCCTGTGTGTTTCCCTGTGTGTCCCTGTGTGTACTGGAGGCGAGGGTATGAATCATTAAGCAAACTTACCCACTAACGGGTAGGTTACATTTAGGGTTCATATTTTCTTTTCACAATGGACTTGAGTCTGTCATACTGTGGTTGTTGCAGAGTTAAAGCCATTCTGTCCAAATGCAGATAGAGCACCATGAATGGACATTAATTGGCTCCTCAAGTGTGCTGCTGACACTTTGCATTCTTATGAATGCCCCGAACAAGAGTTGGACTTAATAACAGCTCAAAGGTCAAATAATGGACTTCGGCACCAATCAGAAACTATTATTTACTGTAGCCACTCAACGGGACAACATTTCATTGAGTCGTGAGTGTGCTTTGTATCCCAGCAGGGAGGACGCGTCCACCCCAGAGTTCAGTGTGAGCACAGTGGATGAGTGGTTGGAGGCCATCAAGATGGGCCAGTATAAGGAGAACTTTTCCAGTGCTGGATATGTCAGCTTGGACTCAATCCTCTACATCAGTGTCAGGTACAAACGGCTGGTGACTCATCCCAGTTAAATGAAGCACTCAATAGGTCAACATTGTCAGTAAAAGACGCACTATATGCCACTTGAGTGTCATTTAAAATGAAAGAAGGGGATTTACACAAGTATCTTGGACATGAAACCTCAGCAGCTGCTTGGCATTTGAGAGACAATGAAGATTCCTTTTTTGTGCCATTAATTAATTTCTTTCTTTTCTATCTTCCTTGTAGTGAATTGGCTAAGATGGGTGTGACTCTCGCCGGGCACCAGAAGAAGATTTTGTCCAGCGTGCAGAGCCAGCAGACCCAGGCGACGCACGTCCAAGTATAACAGTTTCCACACAAACACACAGTGAGACAGAGCCGAAATGGATTGCTCCTGTGAAGAGTTTCCCCACTGAGATGGAGTTGGAATGGATGCTCTGTGCTCGGGCCTCCACTGATTTGGAGACACTCTGAGATGGAGACAACATGGATGCTTGACTCCTTCACCTTTTTGCAGTTTTCACCATTCTTCCCATCCTTCGATGGGCACTCGCACTCAAAAGTCCAAGCAACACAGCCACCGTTACGGAGCAACAGAGGGACACGCGTCCAACAACAAGCACTCCAGACCATTTCACATCATTTCAGGTCAGCAAAAGAAGAAGAAAAATGAATTCTTAACTAAAGAAATTACAAAAAAAAAATAGAATATAATTATCATCACTGTCTGTGAGGTGTACAGTTGTTTTTTTTTTGTTGTTTTTTTACTGTCCTTTTGTTTCTGTTCTCACCTTGAAGAGTTTACAAAGGGTCAGAAGAAATGTATATGTGTAGATATGTTTATATGGGCTGTGTGTGCCACAACCGTAGAGATGGACCTAATGTTTGTATTGGTGGTGAGGTTTATATCGCTCAACCTTAACGGGAGTTAGTCCCTAGTAAATGTATGGCCCCCTCCATTGTATACAGAAAGCCAATGAGTGAGCAGAGATTATGAATGACATGAATGTGTAGGGCGAGGGGAACAGAAAAACTGGACCTTAAAAGATAGAGCGGGGTGTCGATTTTGCTAGCTCATGTAGGATGGAAGTATTATTCATTTAAATTGTGTATTTGACCAGGACAAGGGCTTCCCTAGAGGCTGCTCTCAGACACACTTCCATAGCCACCAGACCCAGTGCACCTTTGCTAGTCTGTTTGCGCTTGTGATGTAACCGAGTGCAAAGAAACAGCCGAAACTGCTTAAGCTGCAGTCAGCACAGATACATTTTTCTTCTTCCATAACTGACTGTTCCAAACAACATTGTCTGTTCAGCTGTTACAGTATGATGATGTTGGGAATATTTCAGCCCAAAAGTTTGCCTTCCCATGTTTCAGGTGTGTAAAGAAAGTTATAGTGTTTTTGTGTGGAGCGAAGGTGATGCTACGGCCATCATAGAGTTGACACTGATAAGAACGTGTACCTTGTTTTTCCCCAGTGTTGTGCCATGTAACGTCAGCTTGAAATGTTCATCTGGGCAACATACCATCATTTCTACTATACTCCGTCCTTTCATCAGCTCCTGTGGCTGGATGGTAACACGAGGCCAGTCACAGTAATTACAGTGTTTCGTTAAAATAGTCTGCTTGATGAGAAGGAGCCTTGGAATGCACCCTTTTTTTTCCAGCGGGGCAAAATATACGCAGTGTTGATTTTCAGCTGTGCCACCACAAGAGGGTACATTTTACTTTCAAAAAAAGATGATTTGTGTCTTGTTCTGTCTCACTTACTTGTTATCTGTCTTGCCAACCACTTTCAAGCATCCCTAGTCTCAAACCGATGCTGATAAGGTCAATTTACAAAACAATATTTACAGCAAAAAGAAAATAAATTGGTTTGTTGTTGTTTTTTTCCTTATCAGAGGGAAACTGCTGCTTATCACAGTAAATACAAGCGTAGATATGATGGGACCCTCTTTGTGTGCACTGCATTAATAGCACTGAACCTGCTTTAGTGTATTCCCAAACCCAGTTTCAATATATGTGGTACTCTATAGGACCAACAGTGGCAAAAAGTACAGTATATATGATTGTATTATAGTGTAAAATATGTACAGTGTTGATTTCCAATGTTAGAATGTTTGTAATGATAACGATGATGATGACTATGATGTACTTTTATTGTGAAAAAGAGATTTCTGAAGTTCTCGTTCAGGGGCGGGTCATACAGAAGAAAAGTCGAGGGAGGTGATTTGTTGGTATGATCAAAGGAATGTAGCATGGTGCGAAGCTTCAGCTTTGATTGACAGGTGGCAGTGACTGCAGTTCTATCATAGTGTTAGAATGAGTAGAATGGACTTTCCTTATTGATACACTGGCTTAATTTGCAATATCTCCCGTAAACAGTAATTACATGCACTTTTTAAGCCTGTGTTCTACAAAGCAACTCTGAAAAACAAAAAAAAAAAAAAGCTTGTTTGGGTGAGGTACTGTGGAGATGGAAGGAGAAGGGTTGAGATAAGACATGTTCTCAGATCAAATTTCTATCCACGAACACCACAAGTTAAACAGTCGCTAAACCCCTCCCCCAAGCAGAAATTGTCCAATCATAGATTAGCAACCGTAGCTAGGCACGGCATACCCGTCAAGCATATCCGCATGCTGGAGCAATTAGCATGCACTAAGAGCGTTACTTGGCATTTAAAGACTTTGGAGGGTGGTTACTTTTTTCAGCCTTTCTATAACCCAATATACAAGGGCAACAGTGTACGGATTGGATTGAAAGGGTGTTTGTCTGTTCTAGTGTAAACTGCAATAGCTAGCATGCCGTGCTAGCTAGTGTCATTAATTACCTAGGTTACATTTCTTTGTGGGGTGACAGGCTATGAAAATAAACGCCACGTTCACAACTAGCTCATCCACTGCGTTGTATTTCTCCACTGACTTGAAGCTGATCTTGGATGCTGTCAGAGTTACGGGCAACGTTGGCTGTTGTCCCGCTCATTATTGGATTCTTTAAGTTTACACCAGAGCAACCCCAGCCAACAGCCTCGGAGATAACGCTTCATGTGCCAAGCACATTGGTTATTCTTCACACTAAAAGCCTTTCCTCTTGTAATGTTTAAAATGAAGTATGGCCCCTTTTTAACCTTTTTTTTTTTTTTTTTTTTTTTTAAACAGGGTTTTCAATTTAAAACAAGTGAGCTAGAAACATTAAAAAGTCAGCAGGAGACAGCATTTTCAAGCAACTCATGGAACTAAATGAAACTTAACTAGCTTAGCTATCACAACATGCCGTTGACATCGGTCATTTTAGCCAGGAAGAAATAATGTCCATGGCTAAAAATGTCTTTTGTCTACATCTGCCTGAAATCAAGGACCCAGTGTTTAATGCTTTTGATGCTTAACCTGCCGCTCTCAATGTGCCATTCCAGAACGAAAAGCTTGACCGGCACGTAGCAACTGTATCCAATTTCAACCACGATAAGGCTCTTGAGTTGTTTTTTCAGCCCTATTGTTTGAGAATACAATAAAAATACAATGCAATTCGGAGAGTCTGAAACTCTACATTCTACTCTTGCTAACTCTATGATTTCACTCTAGCGGACTACCCTTGACCGCTGGCCTTTTAGATGCCTTATTTACTGAGCTATTGTTCTTTTCTGTTGCCCTATAGAGGCGATATTAAGAGTAAAGTGTATGTACAAGTAGTATTTATCTGTGTTCTTAAGATGACCTCACATCGACACCCTGGTTTTGTAACATCCCAGAGACCTTCTCTTCAACAGTACCGTCCCTTTGATTCCTCTAAGCAGAACAAAGTCATTTTGTTGCATCATGAATCTTAAAGCTGATCATCTGTAAACGCTGATAGAGAAATTGGCAGATTGTTCTTATTTATTTGCATTGAGTCATACGATTAACAATTTGATAGGCTGCATTTGGTTGCAAAAAATATTGTCACTGGCAAAATTCCTCATGCAATGTCAGGATTAGAAAAAGACAATTTTAAGCATCACTCAAAAAAATGGGCGCATTGCAACAATGTCATCCCTTTTTCTATAAACTTATTCAACACTCACAGTTTAGACATTTTAATAATTCAGAGGTCATACACACACTATTCACCCTCAAGGTAAGCTATGTGGGTTGGTTTACTTGATACTCAAATACAGTGTTTGTCCTCCATACCCCACCATCTCTCTCTCTCTCACCCTCCCTTTCTTTGGCCACCGTACAATGCTTATTTGTCCCCATGCCAGTTTCCTCAGCGTTGCTTGTTATAAAGGGTGTAGGCATTCTAATGTCTTTCATGTTGCTGTAATAAATATGCTAATATTTCTAATTTCTCACCTCAAGCCTGCAGTGTCTTTTTCTTTCACAAATTATCTGCTTTTTTCCCTTTCTTTCTGTCTCCCAGACACACACAAGTACACACACACACACACACACGCTTATCCACACGCACAACTCCACAGTACATTTACACTGGGACTTGCGGAATACGACAGTGTAAAATTCCCAATGCCTTTACATGAAAGTGTTATGAAGCCCTCGCTTGATTATTTTTTGCTGTGTAACAAAGCCTGAAGGTATTTAATTTTGTTTTGCTGTGCATCAGAAAATCAGTGCATGACTGGGAAATTCAAGTCTCATTTGTCCCCAGCTCTGCTCTAATGGTGATAGCGCTGGTGAAATTCCCATCATAGCATTCTTGAATGGCAAAATATGGCCACCCTGCAACCACATCTTCATTATCAGAGTATATATGTGTGTGTGTGTGTGTTCCTTACTGAGAGATGATTCTGTCTCGGGGGAGGGGGAAGGTCAGCGACTCCTGGCCTTGGTTAACCCCTTAATGCACTGGCCTAGTTGCTGTCACTCTATGTTATTGCCATTACACCTCATTTACCCCATCATATTAGGCTCCATATCCCCCTATCGCTCGCTCCCTCCGTCTCTCTTTCTCTCACACACACACACACAAAAAAAAATTCAGGGCCTGTTCTCCATTTCCTCAATATCTATCTCCTCCTACTGGCCTCCTCTTAATCTTTCTGTTGGCCTTGTGCATCCCCATGTTTTCTGCCTCATCCTATCCATCCTGTGCAGACAGACAGACAGGTTGTGGCTCGTTCTCTGACCTTGACTACCCCATTATCTCCCCTCCGCTTGCTTTTTCCTCTTCTCATAGCTTTCTAATTTCCCCTACCTCCATCCATCTATCCATCACCCCATCCATGCAGAAGTTTTCTCCACATGCAGCCCTCTCTTTGAGGCCCACTGCCTCTTTCCGTCTCACTGCTATCACCACTGGGTTTCCTCTCACCATTACAAGCCAATCCATAACTTTTGGGCTTTTGTTTCCAGGTGCCTCAGTGGGGAGAATGTCATCTCACGTATTTACTCTGGATAACACGGAGGCTACTGGGAGCCAAAGGCTCAGGCGATTGATTCATCATGCAGCTGCTATTGGCATCATGTGAAAAGGTCAGGTGTCCTTACGGAGAACACTTTAAAAGGCCATTGGTGACTGATGAGCCTGTCATTTTCCATCACATACATGCACAAGCACTCTGTTGCTCCCTCTCTATCTATGCCTTTCTCCATGTTCCTCTTCTCTGCACTCTCTCTTTCTCTCCCATGGGAATAGTAATTGGGCCCCTCTGTCATGCTGTCGGGTGTGGGTTTGAGTGTCCCCTCATGTGCAACAGCAGACATTAAAAAAAAAACAAGGGACCAAACAGCCATAGATCCACCATGACCTCAGGGTCAGCCATGTGTGTACATGTGTGTGTGTCTGTCCATGTATGAATGTCACATCTGTGTGTTCATAGTGCTTGTGAGACCAAAAACGGTGTGTGTGTGTGTGTGTGTGTGTGTGTGAGTGAGTGAGTGAGAGAGAGAGAGAGAGAGAGAGAGCAGTTCGAGTATCAAGACAAAAAGAAAGTATGTAAAATGAACCAGAGGAAAGATTTCATCGGTCATTGGTAAGATTTGAGTTGCTGCTTTGTCGCTCTTGATTGCATTGCATGTGTCCTCTCTAATCAAATATGTCCGAGTTCAGACGGTCTGAGTGTTTCACGATCTGCGCACACACACACACACACACACGTACACACCAGTGCTCTTCTGTCTCATGAGGTTTTAGTTTGCTATCAAAGCGATTTCCTGTCTCAAATTTTCATCAGTAATCAAAGTTCCTGATTGAATTTGAAAAGTGAGCCCAGCTCCATAAATCACATTACATGCCTCACTCCCATCATGCCCCCTCTCATCAGCCACAGGAATGAGACGCCACCCTGGGTGTAGGTCTGCGTCATGGTCTCCCTGTAAGTGTGTGTGTGTCTCGTGCAAGCGGTGGAACAGGAAAATGGATGTTGACAGAACTGTGATTCGATCCGTGCAATTTTCTGTTGGGACAGATAATACAGAAAGGAGAGAGGAACGGTGAAACGACAATAAAGATAACACACTGGGGTCTTTTTGTATGTGGACACAATTCTTGGCATCGTTTCAAGTTCTATTGGCTCGCAGTTAGGTTGAGTTTGTATGCATCAGTACAGCTCAAATCAGTGATAAAGTCAGGCAAAAAGGGAATTTAGTAAAACTGAAATGCTTTTGTTGTTGGCATGAAAAGATTAGTGATCAGGCCCAGGGGCCAAAAGGGTCAGAGGATCCCAACCAATTCAATCCAATAGTTTTGTTTTTTTCTTTCATATTAAATCTTCACATCATGCAAAAGCTACAGTGACATTTCATTAAAATATAGTTAAATTAGTAAAGTAATTTAAATTTAAAGTTTGACAGCAGAATAGTTCTGCTTCAAGAAAATAGAAACCTGCTCCTCCGGGTTTCTTTACTGCTTTCCTATATGTTGTATAGTATGTTGTAGTGTTGCGCGGGAAGTCAGTGTGGTTCTGCTGTGGCAGGACGCTTTGGACAGGAGTCGGATAGTCTCTCTCTCTCTCTCTCTCTCTCTTAGTATCTCCAGTGTGAACCAAATACTTATGTAGTGCCGTTGGTTCAAAAACTGAGCCTGAATGGTCTCGTTCAACTGCACGATGTCACTGAAACGGACAGAAAACGAAAATAAAGAGACTTAAAATGAAATAATGAAATAAAAGATATTAAAAAAGTAGTAGACAAAAACAACTGCATAGACTCAAACGACAAAAAAAAAGAAATCAAAACGACTACAAAGATGAAAGACTACAAAACTTAAAATAATACAAAAAAAATAAGACAATGATTACAGAGAAACGCAAAACAAATATAAAAAGATGCAAAACCATAACAAAGAGACACAAAACGACTAAAGGAGACTGTGTGAACGCACGATTATTGTCTCATATTCCGCCTAAGGCTGTTGGCACCAAATGAAATAAAAACTGTAATATTTCTACAGTTAGACCCAAGTATAAAAAGGTAACCAGAAAACAAGAACCAGCAAGAATTCCTGCCTGTGTTGGACAGCTGTCACCACCTAGAAATCTGTTACAGATTACAAAATGGACCAGAAGTACATAGATGGATGAATAGAATAAGAGGAGAGGAGGAGAATAAATGGTGTTTGAGTTTGGAAAAAAAAAAAAAAAAAAGTGAAGAAAAACTTGGAGGAGGTTGGAGGAACCGAGATAATATTGACCACATAATACCTTACAGATGTGGAAATTACTGTTGGCAGACATGACACACTGAACTGCGAGTGGCTGACTGGAGAGGGACCCTGACCAAACACAAACTCGCTCTAGTCCAAATTCGTGCTCTCCATCGACAGAGAAAAGATGATGAAAATCTAAATTTAGACCAAATGCATCTGTTCGTCTGTAAATTACACAAACACATGCACGCAACAACATAATATCTCTCCAGGGCTCAGTGAAATATGGGGTGATAGTGTATGGAAGCCTTATTTATTGAAGTGTAAACATACTGCTAATGTCTTCCTCCTCCAAAATGTACAGGCCTACTTCTTGCCTTTCTGTGAAATCCCATTATGAACTCTGCATGTGACAGCTGATTGCAGTGTGTTGCATGATTTCCGGTGCCTGTCGCCCGAGCGTGTACATGTGTATATGCGGAGAAGAGACACGAGTGTTCTTGTATACGCACCACGTGTTTACGTGTGTTTCCTCTCATGTATAATCAAACACAGCTCTTCAAGTGCCGTCAATCAAGCTTTGATGTTACGGGGAAGAGCCTAGAAACAGCAGCAACCCCCTCTGTGAGCTGAGGGAAGTTGTTTCAGGGTCGGTGGATCCATATGAAATGTTCGCCAAAGCAAATGGATGGAGAAGATCAGGAGCCTGCAACATAATTATATATATTATATAACCCACGGAAATATAATCCGCAGTTTATGTCAACACACTTTTCTGTAACGTCAAATCTTCAAAACAAAATGGCTCTATTCAGAGTGTCGCTCTGCATACTCATGCCCCCTTCATCATGCTATTCTTTCTCTTCGTCATCTGCTGTTTTCCTCTTGCATTGTTTCTCATCTGAAGAGGATACGAGGCATTGAGGTTGCATTCAACACCTTTAACAGAAACACAATAACAGATCCATTATACAATACCGGATGGTTTTGTTGAGTAGAATATTTGTGACATTGTTACGAGTAAAAACAAGCCTTTCAGTAGGAAGGAATAATACTCTGAAGTTGCCTGGTGAATGCTAAATTGAATATATTCAATTAGTATTATTGAGCCTCTTGTACACCGACACACACATCGCCGGAAACGTACCATAAAAGGCTATGATGACCTGTCGGAAGAAACTGGGGTTAAGTGTCTTGCTGAAGGACACTTCAACATGTAGACAGGAGAAGCTGGGAGTCAAACAGCCAACCCTGGATTGATTAGAAAAAGTTTCAATTTGCCAAACAATAAACCAAAGCCAAAAACTGAAATGGTGTTGCAAATGTTAGGGGATTGTCCATATAACATAAAACAAGAGGATTGTTGATTTTGTTAATTTTTGTGAAACTGCTATTTCCATAGTTAAGAATGAACTTTAGAGATTATCTTTCTGAAATTCAGAAATGTGTGTCCTGTAGATTGAAAATGTTAATTAAATAAGATGATACCCAGACAGCTTTCTTCCCTAAAAAGAATCAATCACAGCTGTGAGGCCTCCAAGAACACTTGGTAGACCACTATATTAAGATATTCCAAAAATATGGGGTGGTCTCCTAATTTTTTCCAGTTGTGAATGGAAAGAACATTTTAGTGGTGGGTGGGAATGACTTTAAACTCACTTGAACATCTTCAGACGTGGCAAAAAATGTGCCGCTGTAACCAAATGAGCATGGATCGCTCCTAACAAAAAACAGGCATATAAGGTCATC